TTCCCTGTTCCGCCAATCCCAGCCAGCCTCCATCCTCGGATTGTCCTCCAGCCTTTGCAACGGGGTGGTCAGTTGGAGCAAAGGGGGGAGCTGGATTAGAGCGAGGGCCTAGAGTGACAGGCCTGTTTCCTTGTCCCCCCCAACCCCCCCAGTGTGCAGCTACTGCAGCGCTGGAGACCTGTTCACGCTTTGGAAGTCAGCGGGGCCCCTTGCGGAAGGCGCCACCCGCCTCTTTGCCACGGAGCTGGTTCTGGTGTTGGGTGAGTGAGGGGCCGGCGCCGGGCTCTGCACTGCCAGCACCCCCTGAGCTGTCACCACGTCTCTCTCCTGGGCCTGAGGGAAACCTCAGCCCTGTTCTTGTTTTTATGTCAGTTATCTACGGCGTTAGAAATCCTTTGTTATAAATGAGCATGCCCAACCGCAGTAAAACTCAGAGGGGAGGCAGAAGGCATGGCTGCACTTAAAATCACCAGAAACTAATTGTTAAGCAGCGGAAGGCACGCTAGGTCTCTGAGGCAGGAGAGGATCCAACAGCTGTAAGAGGGAAAGTCCTCTAAGTAGCCCAGCGTGGCTTCCATCCTGCTTTTTCCTCGGGCTCACCAACAGAAAAGGGCCTTCACGCACGTGCGCACACGTGTACGCGCTGCCCTCGGTCACCAGACCCCTTTAATTTGAGATGCTGCTGGTCCTGAACCTAGGATTTCCTGCACGTGCCCTGAACGCACCGCTTCCCCACCCCTGGAGCCCCTTCCTTGTCAGGATGAGTCCTCGGCCCAACTCTTTGGAAGCCGGACAAAGCCAGTGCGCTGATTTGGGGGCCAACAATGCTGGGCTCTCCCTGGGCAGAGACGTCACAGGGACGAAGCTCTGCGGGCAGCAATGCCAAAACTGCATTAGGGCAGCTCCTTTCTTTAGCCGGAGCTCCACCAGTCGGGCACCTTCCAGGTGTGCTGAGACCGCAGCTTCGGCTGTGCTGGGGGCACTTTTGTAGCTACACCCCACCCCATCACACCTGGAAGATGCTGGGATTCTGGGATTATAGCTGGGATTTCAGCTATAAAAAGGGTCCCCGAACAGTCTGCCATTTTCCTCTGGCTCTTTGGGGTGTCTCTTGATGCTCTTCTCTTTTCCAGCCTACCTTCACAGCCAGGGCATCGTGCACCGGGACATCAAGGTATGGGGCACTCGCCTTGTTCCCTGGGTCAGGGTGGGCACTGCAGCCTGATTCTCAGCTGCCAGTTGCCCCCCATGTTGGAAGCCACTCAGCCAAGCGAACATCCTGCCCTTACTTAAGCCGAGCCCAGGGAACGCCCGGCCCCGTGAGGATGGTGTGGGGTCTTCAGATGTCAGCAGGTTAGCCTGGGCCCTGTTGCCTCATCTGGGCTGTTCTTTGCTTTTCTTGCAGATGGAAAACATTCTCCTGGATGAACAAGGTACCGAGGGGCAGCGGGGGGGGGGGGGATCGGGGCGTTCCCACTATCAGTGCGAGCGCATCCCAAGACGTAGTCCTCCTCCTCCTGGCTGGTCTCCTGGCCTCTTTGTGCCACAGAAAAGGGCTGTTGCAGAGCTAAATGGCTGCAGGGATGGAGAGCAAGCGGAACGCCTCCCGGGCAGCCGTGAAGGCTGTGCAAGGCATGTGGCCTGTGCCCGTGGTGCTAATCTTGGATATGGCCCTCTCTTTAACCAGCCTGTTGGATTTGGGGTCCGTTCCTGCAGCGATCCGAAACAGAATTTCCCCCGCGCCGGAATGGGGGCCAAAGCAGAGGTCTCCTTTCAGGGAGGGGCTGCTGGACCCAGGCTGTCTTTGCTCTTTCCCCTTCCTGGCACAGGTCACTTGAAGCTGGCTGATTTTGGCCTTTCTCGCCATCTGCCCCGGGGCAAGCGGGCATTCACCATCTGCGGGACCCTCCAGTACATGGGTAAGGCAGCTGGGAGGAGGTGAGGGCATGATGGGGGCAGGCAGGGAGCCAAGATCAGTCACCTTCTGCTCTTCCTTTGGGGCAGCCCCGGAAGTGCTGACAGGCGGTCCGTATACTCACGCTGTGGACTGGTGGTCCCTGGGGGTGCTGCTGTTTGCGATGGCCACTGGGCAGGTAAGAGGAGGAATGGGGTCCCTTTGCTCCCCAGGAATCCGTCTCCAACAGCAACCAGCCCAGTGCCTGTGGAGAAGTGCCAAGCAGGGCAGAAAGGGAGCGTCTGATGCCTAGCGGGGGGCTGTGGCTGAGGTTCCCCCATCGCTTGCTTCGGACTCCTGTGCCAAAGCCGTTTTCTATCACTCTGCCTTGCCGACACTCAGTCCTGTGCCAAGCGGACACCATGCAATAAACTTGGCAGGGAGGGCTTCTGCCAGTGCCCGCTTATGAGTGGCATTGGGTGAACAGGGGCCTTTGCTTCTCCAGTTCCCGGTTCCCCCAGAGCAAGACCACGTGGCCATGCTGCGGAGCGTGAAGCGCAGCACTTACTCCATCCCACCCACGCTCGGCCGGGGCCTCCGCCTCCTGCTCAGCGAGGTGAGCTTCCTTGCTGCCCCCTCCTCCGTGGAAGCCTCCTCCGTCTTGCTTCCCAAGGAATCGAGATGGGATCTCTGGGGAAACAGAGCAGAGCCGGGGCAAGAGCAGAGCCATCTGCGATGGGAGGTTTACGCGAGGAGCCCCCGTCCTTCCTTCCGCTGAGGGAGAGAGCGTGGGGAGCTGGTCCCAGCGCAGCCAAGGACTCCCAGGACTGGGGAAGGCCGGCCTCTGAGCCCTTCCCTTAAGCAGTCGCCCGGGTGGTTGCCAGGTAATCCCCCAGCCTTCCTTCCTCTCCCCCTCCAAGCTCCTGTCCAAGGATCCTCAGCACCGGCCGCGCCACCTCCACCATTTCCGCGCCCACCTCTTCTTCCATGGCATGAGCTTCAACGCGGACGTCCTCAGGAAGCAGCCGGCAGATTTTGCGCTGGGCTGGCAGCCACCCAAGGGCGCACCTGCGGACGCTGCCACCTTCCCTGAGTTTGACTGCGATCTGGGGGCCCCCTGAGCCACCGGGACTCTCTGGGGCCACCATGAGCCACTCTTGGGAGGCGCTCCTTGGTGCAGCTCCACGGACTGAGACCCAGCAGCAGGTCTCCAGGAGGGGCCCAGGGCCCATTACCACCAGCAGACTGCTCACCACAGCGGCCCGTGGGACCTGAATGTCCCCTTCTTCCTACCTCCGCCTCATCTGTCTGGATATTATTGTTTCAGCCTCCGCTTTGCAAGTTGCAGGCTGGTTCCCTTCGTCGCAGTGGGGTTCTCCCTCAGTCCGACGCTGTAAATCTCTTTCCTGGGCCGCTGCAGTCGGGCCCTGCTCGGCCTTCCACGATGCAGGCAGCCCTGCGGTTTCCTGGGACTGCTGGGGGGTGCTTGGGGAGCCACTCAGGGTGTACAGAATAAAGAGCTCCCTCTTAGCCCTGCCTAAGTTGCTTGAAAGTGAGTCGGAGAAGCCCCTTGCTGAGGCCTGAAACTCTCCCCTTTAGGATTTAGTTTTTCACACTTTCTTCTTTTTTCCCATTAACGTTGATGTTGTATTGCACTGTTAGTACATACGTGTGGCTTTTTCCTGTTTGTCTGAAGCAATAAAAGAACTTCCTAAAGGTGTCCTTGCTACCTCCTGTCTCTCTGCAGAAGGATCCCTCTCGTCCCCAGCACAGATGGGCACTTCCGGACCGAAACTTTGGGGTGGGCACTTGGGTAGGCCGGAGTCAGCCCGCTTAGTCACAGTCGAATCATCCCAGATGAACTTTATCTAACAGACTTGGGGGAGGCAGCGGGGGACATCTGCAGAGGACCAGAGGGACGATTCAACAAGCTTTAGAGAGGGTTGACTCGGGAGGCTGTTGTGGAGAGGAGGGAACGTCATGTTCGGCATCACGGTAGGAAAAATGTCAGGCCGCGAGCATACGCCGCCTTCACATGGGAAAGGGATCTGCCGCTCTTCTCAACCCCACCTCTGAGCCCCACAAGGCCTGTCAGGCGGTGGCCCCAGGGACCCACTTTGCCTTGGGCCCAGCCTCTCTGGCCCCTTCCAGACGGGCAACAGCAAGAGTGGAGGAGGGCAGGAGGAGGCAGGACGTGGCAGGGGGAGAGGCGGCCAGGCCTCCTGCCTGCCGTCCCTCGGGGCCATCCCAGGCACCGGACAAAAGGGCTGGCGCCCAGCAGATCCCATCATCCCTGAGTTGTTCAGGGGGCGCCACGGCTGACTCTGCAGACAGCCGAGACCCTCTTTCGATTCACAGCCCCACGCTGGGGGGGGCACTGGGAATCCCTAACATTCGCACCCAGCTGACAGCAGTACATGTGAAAGGGACCTGGGTGCCCTTGTGAGCCAGGAGGGTGACGCAGCTGCCAACAAGGCCGATGCTATCATCGGGTGCATTATTGGGAGCGCAGCGTCCAGATCACGGGCGTAATTGTCCCCCTGGTCGGACCCCACTTGGAGTCCTGGGTCCAGCTCCGGACACCCCAGCTCAAAAAGGACAGTGCAAACTGGAGCAGACTGAGGCGGCGATCTGGAACTAAGCCTTTGAAGGAACGGTTAGAGCCGTGTTTCTCACCCTTGGCCACTTTAAGATGCGTGGACGTATTGCTGGCGGGGGGATTCTGGGAGTCGAAGTCCACGCATCTTAAAGTGGCCAAGGGTGAGAAACGCTGGTCTAGTGCATTGCACAGTAAGCGGGGTGGTTATTTATTAACGAGTTACTCACTTAATAACCTGCCTTTCCTTTGGGAGCTCAAAGCCCCATGCCTAGCCCCCCGCCTCCTATTTCCCCCACACAGCCCTGCGAGGACGGCTGGGCTGAAAGGAGGGCAGGCCCAGAGTCCCCGAGGGGCTTCCGCCAAGAGAGGGAACCTGAACCGGGGCCCGGCCCCGAAGGCCCCCCCCAC